TTCAGCAGGTAGGATGTCAGGTGGATGGTGAACAAGATGTTATTTGTAAATCAAAGGTCACAGGTTTGATCACCAGTGTCCTGTTAGTGTCCTTCAGTGAGGCACTGACCTGGCCGTGCATACTGAATGATATCCTCAAATAAATACCTTGAATATGATTATACACTGAGTTAGACTTGCTCAAAATACGAAGAATTACAGAACACATACTAACTCTTGAGCAACTGAACAACATTGACTCTCTCTTGCATTTACTGGGGCAGCAAGAGTTCTGGTGGCGCAACCCGCTCCACCAGCCAGAAGTGAAAACCGAGGAGTCGTGCTCATTTCCTCCTCAACAAAAAACCACAAGTTGGGTCCTGCTTGTTCTTGTTTTTGTACACATTTAACATAAACTGAAAAAAGTATTTAAAGGACTAGTCAGACAGTATTAACTTCAGCAGGCCTTTTTCAGGATTAATAAGAGATCAAGTACAGATCCTGTGTAATGGATGCTAATTTTACAGGGGCCTGTTTGGGATGCTGCCTCAGCATCTGTGCTTTCTAAGGTTTATTCACAGCGTGATTTGAGTTTGAAGCAACAAAAGCCAATGCCTTTCTCCCCTAGTTTACTGTAGCTGCAGCAGCACATTATACACAAACACACTGTCCCCACTACTGCTCCAGAGGGCACAAGCAAAGCTCTAAGTAAATCCACTATCTGAAAAAGCAACAGACCTCATGCACACACAGATGAGTTATGATGGTGTCACTTATTATTATTATACTTTTATTGTTTGAATTCATGGTGCAGAGATGATTTTATTTATCATGTTAAATACTGGTAGCTTGTTTTTGCCCTGCCGAAGAGCTTCAGCTTCAGTGTGGGGCCTCACACTGTTTGTGTGTGACAGATCAATCTTACAAGTATTACACAGTATATAATCTCTGCTCCTCTGTTAACCACTTGTATGCTCATACTCTGTTATTTTATAGCACATGTAAGGCTCAGATATGCACCTACTATACATATTATGAATATTTTCCCATTAAAAACAAAACTGGTACATGTGGAACTTCTGAGTGTTTCATTTACATGTTTTCACTTTTAACTAACAAGGTATCACATCCTGGTTTGTCAGATCATTTGAGCAGCATCTGTTTTGAAAGTACCTTGTGGTTATGGGGCACTGTAGTGTCTTGGTTTTTCCAACCATTTGCAGCTGACACCATTTTGACAAAGGTTTAAGCTACATGTACACATCACTTAGTGACAAATAACTGAACATTTTCTGGCTCCAGCTTCTTTAACGGAGCAATTTGTTGTTTGTCTCATATTTTGTCTCAGCTAATGTCTCAATAACAATTCATTTTCCAAAGGACAGATTAGTTAATTGAAATACATAGAATTGATTTTCTCAGAGGCTGCCCAGAAGGTAGTAAATTGGTAGCAAAAAAATTAGAATATATATATATATATATATATAAAATAGACATATGTCGGCAAATATGCTTTTGTTTGTTTGGAACCCAAAAATGGATCATAGTGAGAATGTAGATGTGGGCCACAGGGTGAGGGTAGAAGGTGGTTCCCCAAATCTCATCAGCTTTCAGTTCACGCCTTTCTGTCTCATGAGGAAGTGGGCGTGAGCGTGAGCGTGAGTTTCTCTCCCTTGCTGCTTTATTTTCAAGCGCGCACTCACGTGTGCAGAAGTAAAACAAGAGAGGGGAGTTTAGAGACTGCGTTTCTTCACGTTTAGACTGATTTTGGCATTCAAGTTTAGGAAGTCTCAGTGGAGTCTGCAGTTCTTTCTGAATAACCTGAAATCATGGTGATGCCGATCTTGTGTCAGACTGCCTTCACGGTGTTCCGTCACATCGAGCCGATCATCGTGCTGGAGCAGCTGGCCAGCACTCTCTTCGACACCGCCCTGCAGGTTGTGGTCAGGGACCGGTGTGCCAACGCCACCTTCCCCGGGCGTTCCAAGGAGGACAGCCAGCAGAAAGCCATGACGGACTTCTTCATGACCTACAACCTCATCATCCGGCTGGTTCCGATATTACCCTCGCTGCTCCTGGCCCGGTTAAGCGACCGCGGCTGGAGGAAAGCCCCCATCGTGGTTCCTCTGAGCGGGTACCTGCTCTCCAGGGCCGCGCTGCTGCTGGTGCTCAGCCTCAGTCTCCCGCTGGAGGTGATGTTCGGAGCGGCGGTCGTCTTTGGGCTGTCCGGCGGCTACTGCTCCTACTGGTCCGGGGTGATGACGCTGGCGTCGCTCAGCTCCACGGCGAGTGACCGGTCCAAGGTCAGTGTGGTGTCGCATGAAGCCTTTGTAGAAGTCTTAAATCATCTAAATGGGATTTTCAGTATCATAAAAAGAACTAACTAAATAAATAAGCAGTATAAAAACAAGAGGAATTACAGTGGGAAACCGTGGATGAGTAAGGGATTACATGAGAATCTACTGCACCTACTGGTAACTTGTTTGCCATGTAGCAATAAAAATATACTAAAAACCTGGATTATTCTGGTTAGTCACATTGTACTGCTATTATTTTGAACAATACTGTATGCAAGAACAGGCTCAATGATTAACTACATGGACTATTGTGGGTGTGGTGTATATTTTGTAACTATTCTTTAGTATATCACTTGTGTGATGTAAGAATGTTAACACTGTTATATTCTTTTTTTAGTATATGTGTGTGTGTAGAAGTGAATCATTTATTGCTTGCAAACCAATGATGGTAAGATGATGTCATGGGGTAGGACTGGATAAGTCTGACTTCTTCCTACTCCATTCAAGCATGTACTAGGTATAAGCAAATTGATATTGGATTGTGTGTAAAAATGTGTGTTGTCATATCAACTGTTTTATATGCTTGAAAGAATAAATCAAATCAAATCAAATCAAATAAATCTCAATTTCCGTAATGTTAAGGTTGAATCTGACGTCATTTGAAAATTTGCATCTTAAGAAAACGTCACCATCCTACAGCTTGTTTATGTTTTGACTAAATTGTCGGGCCTGTAGTGTGTTAAACAATGCAAAATGTTTTGCCTGTTGTGTAAGCAAACAAACAAAAACCACTTATTGACCTCAAACATCATACCCTCCAGCAACTTTTATTTGTTTTTATACTGTTGCTACTTTTACTTTTAAGAATCTATTTGTCTCCACCACTTGCTATGTAAAACCAAAAACAACAAACACTAGTTGAAACCTAACATGCTCCTGTTATTCATGTCCCCTGTCCCATCCAGGTGCTGATGAGAGTGGAGCTGCTGTACGGGGCAGCGGGTGTGGTGGGCAGTCTGGCATCGGGTCACCTGTTCCTGCTGTACAGCTCCACTTTGGGAGATGGAATTATTCTGCTCATTGTGAGCATAGTGCTCTATGTGTTGTGCCTTGTGCTCTCCACAGCCCTGCTGCAGGTCAGTGTGAGTGTGTGACCACCATCCACACCTTCCAGCCAATCACAGTCCAGACGTTTCAGTGGCCATGGTATAACTGTTGATATTGAAACAGTACCAGTAAAACCTAAGGCTTGACTCACTCTGATATTGTTTCCAGCAATGTCATACTGTCAGCGCCACATTTTCATCTTTTTATCTCCAAACCTATCCAAAATATTCACTGTACCACAACAGAGAACAGACAAGTTTACAGCTCACACCGATAAATGTGTATCCACTTCAATAAAAGGTGAAACAGGTGTCCAACAAAGAGCCAGAAGACGACGGCCACCTCCTTTCTCACGCCTCTGTTGACGCTCCTGCTGCTGACGCTCCTGCTGTTGATGCTCCTGCTGGGAAAAACATGGTGAACATAGTTCTGCTGTTTGCAGCCGCCATGCTGTACAACTTTGCAGTGGGTGGAGCCGTTGAAATACTGGGCGTCTTTGTGATGAAAGCTCCGCTCAGCTGGAACACCACTCAGGTCACATTTTCTGTATAACTGGGGGAAAGTTAACATGGATTTTGCTGCTTTATTGTTATTAGGTGTCAGTTATTATAGGCATAGATTTATTTATGTATTGTGTGTCTTAATGTATGTCCAGTTAAACCTTCTTTGTCTTCCTTTATCTCTGTATGTCTTCCTCCAGGTGGGTTATGGGAATGCAGCAGGCTGCATGATTTTCCTCACCAGTTTCTTTGGGGTCATTGTTTTTCGTCGCTGTTTCAGCGACGTCATGCTGATCTTGATTGGCATGGTGTCGTTTGCCTCGGGGATCTTCTTCATGTCCTTTGTCAAGACGACAGCCATGTTCTACCTTGGTGAGACTGAGCATCTTATAGGTCATGACAAAAAAACAAACAAAAAAGACACCATTTATGTCATGTTTTTCAAAACCCAAAGATAATGGATTTGTAATGATTTGAAACATAGAAAAGAAACAACTCTCAATTTATAACCAAACTTGTTGCCCATTAATCTTCTACTGATCAGTCGTTTCACCAGTGATGTGAAAGTTATTGAAAATATTTAGTCCAGAACCTGTGAGACTATTAGACCTGCGTATCAGAACGTTATCATATACTGGGGACTTCCATGTGGCATGAGTTGTTAGCAGCAGAAAGTCAGTTATTATGTTGTTGGTGACACTGCCCCACAGAGTGAAAGTATTTCTTCACTGTCTTTCACATGTGACCAGGTGGTTTAACAGGTTGTTCTACAAATAAGACAGTTTAGCTCCCACAAGAGCAGCTGTAACCTCTTGATGGCTAATACCGCAAATTTGGCTCAGCAAAAATAAAAATGAGGAACTAAATTTAGATTATGTTTTAAAAAAACTGCAACAACAACAACTATCCAAATTCTTTACTTGTCATGTCTTGTAACAGGTTGAATGGGATTGCATTAGCAGGTCTGGGGTCTCAGCATAAACATAAAGGAACTAAATTGTGGAACAGAGAATGAGTTGAAGCCATAAAGATATTTTGTATTCAGTGCTCTGCTATAGATGCCGTGTGACATTTCTAGAATTGGTGTGCCTGTGTCATACCACAGCTGAGATTTATAACTGGTGGTTGTAATTCTTGTAGTGATTGTTTTCATTCAGTACCGACTAAGTAGCTGCTAAATGTTCTTTTCACTCCACCCAAAAAATGACACAGTAGTACCAAATTTGCTAATGACTTCATCTTGATATGAAAGAATTGTCATTTTAAAATATTCATTTGACCTAGTCAGTCTAAAATGCTACGTGACACACACCCTGTCAGAGAGGACAGTAGCAGCATGATGGTGGTGTGGTTCAAAAGGTCTGTGGAGTAAGAGGAACTGATAGAGAAGAAAAATTAATGAGTGTTAATTTCTCTACAGCTCGCTCGCTCAACCTGTTTGCTCTCATCCCAATGCCCACGATCAGATCTCTGCTCTCACAGCAGGTTCCAGCTTCCTCATATGGTGAGTATGGAGATCTCTGTTTGTGTAGGTGTGTGACAGCACTACAGGCGAGGACCAAAACCAGTAGACGATCACTTACAGCTATTAAATAAACAGCAGTGTTATGCAAAGACATGCTGATGGTTTCAATACATTAATGTGATTGTAAAAGTTGCTGTAATTTAGATTATTAAAGTTTATGAATGAAGGTAATCCCCCCCAAAAAGTTCACTGTGAGGGCTGAGTGAGTAATTGGGAGTTAATCAGTTGTAATTTTTCAGTGTGAATTACATTAACCTCCATTGTTTTTGGGTGGCAACAGGGACAGATACTATATATCAAAAGCTGGGTAAACAAAACCAAAACTATTTGCACGGCCAGGTAAGGGAGCAAATGCAGTTTCAACTTGGGTGCTCCCATTCATTAAATATATAAACTTTGTCCTGTGTGCAGAAATAAAGTGGCAATAAGTAATAATGAAACTGAACATATATAAAGATGAAAAATAAACTAGAACTTTTTGGTTCAACTTTTTCCCCATACAAGATAAAACCAAACCTTGTTGAATCAGTGAAACCTGGGTTCATGATATTATACAAAAATTAAACGTTGTTGGAAGTGATAATATACTGTAGTATTAAATCAATGATGTATCAAAGATGAGAGAAGTACAGGATTAGATTATATCAAAGTGACTGCAGGATGAAGTTGTGGAAGAGGGTTGATAACATAATTTGAGTGACATGTCAGAAAAAAAAACCCTCATTTAGTTCTCTTACTTTGTCGTCGAACCTCAAATCCTTGAACCCTTGCGAACAACTTGTTGATTTTAAAGCACAAGGCCTTTTGTGTTTGGTTGGCATAGTGACTTCTGAATTAGCAACAGGTGTCAGTGCAAGGTTAGCAAACATGCTAAACATGGAACAACGCTTTCTTTGAATAGTCATTTACAGTACATGTTAACAGACTGTGATCACACTACCATCCTTTTTAGAGTATATGTCTTTGTGTGTGCGCACAAAGTGTCTTACATCTTTTAAAAAGAATATGCAGAAAGTGTGCATGAAGGAATGCTGCATTATAAAAACCTGCATGTGAGACCAGTCAGGCTGGTTCTTATCAAAACAGACTTGTAACAAAGAACATGTTCTTCCACTGCTCAATGAGTCCTGTCTCTGATACACACACACACACACACACACACACACACTGGGTTCACTAATGATTAGAGGATTAGGGTTATTTATTGTCTGTGCTTCTGCTTTAGTGTGACATCTGTTTGAAGCACAGGGCAATGCAAACATACACACCAGCAACACCAAGCCTTTTCCTGTCCATACGCATACAAGGAAATCAAAAATGAAAAGATTATTCAGTACAGTGCACTAAAATAGAACTTATTTATCAGTGAACCTTATACAGTAGAGTGCAGTAAAGATGTAACGTGCAGTAAAGATGAACATTCGGTCTGTCTTCCTCCTGTTATTTTCTGCTTAACCACCTCTCACTACATCTTTCCCCTCTGAACCTTCTTCACATGCCTCTCCTTTAACTTGCCTGTCCTCCTTCCTTCCCATCAGGCACCATTCTCACCTCCCTGCAGCTGGGTCTGAAGTTTGCCGGCCTCGCCTACATCCCTGCCTTTACTAAGATCTATCAGGGAACATTGGACTGGTTCCCAGGCTTTGTCTTCACGCTCTCCAGCATCTTTACAGTACTGGGAATGATACCCATCAGGTACTCTTTTTAGACTGCTCCAGAATATTAGTTCATTGTAGTAATTAGCAGTTTTTCTGGACAACACGTAGTTATTGGCAGTTAGTAAGTGGGTATCCATCTGCCAGTTTTTATTAGCATTTTCATTTGGACATTAAAAAAAACCTGTGCGGAAATGTGTAAAATTTTAAAAAGTCTAGAAATGTCAAATCTGAATGTTACTGTTAATATACTTGACCAGGACAGACTGGAAAACAAGTAGTAGTAGTAGTTCTCCCTCACACACACTTCTCTGCACATATACATTTGCTCTTCTTCTCAAGAATTTTTCCCCTCTTGTCCTTCCAGCATTGTTGGCTGCAGATTACCTCAGCGGCAACAGTACGTGAGGATTCAGGGAGACTGAAGCAGTGACATCACCATCAGCCTTTGGCATGAGCAAAAGGAGAACTGCCCTTCATTTGTTACAAGAGGAACAAACAAGCATTTTATGAAACCTAAATGAACCTCAGTTAACCTGTGAAGGCTTACGTGGACAGATGATTTGCACTGACTTGAGTCACTGTGTCTCAATCTCTGGTAAAAAGTTTAAAAATGTAAACTTTTGACCGAGATTCAGGCAGACGTCAGCAGCCAGCAGATTTCAAAAGTGTCTTCGTAAAGGCATTTGAGTAATGTCCACAACAAAACCAGTGATTTCAACATAATGTAGATTTGTCAGTGAGTGAAAAGCCCCTCAGCACAGCTTTAAAAAAAGAAAACACCAAAATGTGTATATTTCTCAATCCTGACTGAAAGTGACTGACTGTCACTTTGCACATTTAATCAAATTTGCTTTTGAGAACCAGTCCAAACTGCAGGATCATATTACTTCGGTAAATATCTAATATACTGTAGCATTTGTGACCAATCTGAGACCCACTGGGAGATTTTCAGCCCGCAAGTGTGGCACTCCACTTGGAATTAACATTTTACATTTGTTGTTATTTGTAGATTTATTAACCGAGAGTGGCCCAAAAAAATCAGCTGTCATGGCCAAATCTCGATTAAAAATCTGCTGCTGTATTTCTGTAGCTGAGGATAGTTTACACTTACTAGAATTACTTGCAGACATGCATCATGTTATCAAAGTGAGTGCTTTTAATCGGTAGAGTCCAAATGCACACAGACTGACAAAACATCCATCTGAGCAACAAAAAGGCTTTTTTAAGAGTCAAATCAGAATAGATGCACTTTATGATATTTTGGAGTGCAACAATGTGATATTGTATGTGCCAACTTATAAACCTGCAGGTCAGGATGACAGGATGCCAGTTACAGGTGAAAGGATGTTTAAAAATACACTTCTAGATAATGATGTTATTATATGTATATATATTTTCTGTTCACTTGTTTTATCATTTAATTCTGCATCAAGTTGTAAACACTTTGAACTGGACTGAACCTATTTGAAAGGTTCTCATACAGTTTGAAAATCTGACTTGTTTGAATTTTACATTTTGCAATTTTGTTATTTTGTCTGAACATGAAATTATCACCATATTTAAAACAGAACTATGACTTTTTAATATACAAAATACAGTTAGTCACAAGATTGCTTTTATTTCAAGAGTAAATATGCCTTAAATGACCTTGTGGCCAAATCTCACCGTGTGTCCTGTTATCTTGTTTTATGGATGTGCACAAAGGGTTGCTGTCGGTGGTTATTATACCTAAGATACAATGTATCTATTAAGATTGTATTGTTTTTTTATTAACATTCCTTTGGTAAGATTTTAGGTTTTAATTTGGTTTTGTTTACATTAAAATAACTAAGTGTAATGTAATTATTGTAATTCAATTTATCAGAAAAAGGGTATTACATTTTGACTGAATGAAATGTGGCATTTCGTGTTCATGTTCTACCTGCATTATGTTTTTGTTACATTTGATTTGATTTGATTGATTTGATTTATTCTTTCAAACATGTAACGAATATGTCAACACACATAATTTCACACAAATCCACAAATACATTATGTATAATATGAATAATTTAGGTCCCAAAACAGAACCTTGAGGCACTCCACATACAATGTCCAGATCACTCGATTGGTATTCACCCAACTTCACAAATTGACGCCTCTGTTTCAAATAACTTCTAATCCAATTCAGAGCCATTCCTCTGATCCCATATTTTTTCTAACTAACCATTAATAATTCATGATTGATTGTGTCAAATGCCTTTTTTAGGTCAAATATTCCTATCGTGTATTTCTTCTCATCCATAGCACTTGTAATGTCCTCCATCAGGTCATAAATACATCAGGTACATAAAGTCAATTCATTAAATCCTTTTGTACACCTACAATAAATTTCAACTGGATTAAACAAATAAAGCATTACAGAAGAAAAGAGACAAATCAAACCATCAAATATGTTCATACTTTTTATTATTGGTCCAAGATATCCCCCAACCCATCAAAAACAACATCAATATACAAGCTTATTTGTGATTACAAGATGTTATTCACAGCCAAACTACAATAGGGACTCTGAACGTAAACAGTACCCCCTGGGGAGAGACTGAAGGAAAAAGACAACCTAGATTCACATGTTCAGAAGTCATGTGAATGTCACAAACTCCTTTACAGGCTTAATTGATCAGGTTTATCCTGTGCTGACTTGATGGGAGGACATTAGGAGGTAAACATTTGATTTGTACATTAATTAAAAACATCCTTGTTTAGGGAATTTAACCTGAATGTGCTTTGTAGACTATGCCTTTCTTGCCCTTATTAATTGTTCCAAACTGAAACACAATACGTCCAGTTCAGCACCAGACGATTTACTGTCATTTTTGGCAACTGAAAGAAAGAAAATGAAGTTCTTCTGCCAGAAAGTGGTGCCACGTACTGAGTATAGTGCACAAAGTTAGTCAGTAGGCACATCATTTAAGAGGGGCCTTTTACGATGTCTATGATTAAGGAGAAGTGAATTAATCTGAAAACTATTGTCCTAACATTTTTCATTCCTTATATTTTGGTTATTCCAGATTTGTATTGCTAGTGCAAATCTCCAGCCCCTTCTAAAATATTTTAAAGTACTCCATAGAACCCTAGCCATCATCCTTTTGTACAAAAATAGACTCAGCTGTACCATACATATAGCTGTACATTTGGGAATATTGAATATACAGTACAGTATATTGCCTTAAGATCAAAAAAAGAAATTTCAGTCAAGTCTGCTTGTTCAGTTCACTTAATCAGTGACATGTACTTCATTTACACCAGATATCGGGAAAGTCTTGAGGTGCACCGACACCTCCCTTTGAAAGTCACAGTGCCTGTGTGCAAACAAACAGCAGGTACCAACTACCAATCTGAACCAGTAAACAAAAAGCAGAGGATGATCAAACTTGTTTGTTTTTGTTTTTTTTACTGTCAGACTTTTTTCCATTAAACATTTACCATGTTTGGTACATCTACTATTCCTTAGTTCTTAGTTCTTCTTTAGTCCATATACAGTATTAAAATGTACCATTGTTACAGAGAACATTTTCTACTGGCTGAAATCGCCACATGCCCCTGCTGTCTCATTTTCACAGTGTAATGCACCAATATCAAATGGTAAATGGACTTTGGAAATGACTGTATTCGACTTTACAGTCTGATACCGCTAATCTGGTTTAAAGTCGCACCATGGAGTTTGCTTGTAAACAAATTTATGCTTACATTGTTTTTCTTACAAAAACACATTGTATGTTTCCTTGCGATACAAAAACCATGCAGCACTACTAGTGGCCAAAAACTCAACAGGGGGCTTCCATTCAATGCATTGCCTTTTTCTGATTTCCTGGTGTTGGTAACTGAATAATAGCGACTCAATCGGTGAGGTCTGGATCAACATTTACAACGTTTTTTGTGCTGCATGTTTATATGAAATGTCACTGACTATAAAAAATACTGAAAATTAGCAAAGAGTTAAACGATAGTTCTTTTACAGCAGTAATTTGGGCTAGTGACACTCTGTGAAAGAGCCAGACAATACAGAAGGTTTGTTTGGTTTCTAAACACCTTTGACTCTGGCTCTTCGTTTTCAACATTTCAGTACAAATACAGTAATTTAGCATCCGTAGCACTGTCTCCTGTAGCTGCCTCGACACTGGACCAGAACAACTCTTCTCTCTCCATCTAATTGACTACATTCAACCTCCTAAATTAAAATACAGTATTTTTCATTTGTTACCTCGCCAATGTCTGGCAGTAGCTGCTTCATGCCTTTAAAGCTAAAGGGGAACAGAAGCAAAAAAAAAAACAAAAAAAAAAACAAACTGACCTAGTACTAAACCTTCATTTCATCACTTTCACTTCATTTTGGTTACGCTGAGGGCAGGCTCAGTAAGATGACATCATCACCCCCCCCCAAAAAAAGGTTATTCAAAGACAATTTGGCAAAAGGAAAGTTAAAATAAACCGTTTTCTTTAACAGATCCTCTGAGCATGCAGTCTCAAAAGTAAATCAGCACTTTGTTTCTGTCAGTAATTCGAGATGTAGTTAAAAAACTAAACCAAATGATGATTATATTGTGTCTGAGAAATATTTCCCATTTATGGGGCTACACTGGGGTTCTGGGAAGATGTCACTTGACTGAGTCTACCCTGTTCATCATTGGTCAAGTTTTCGCTACTTTACACTGATGAAATGAACATATTTGAAAGAATAATGGTAAATCTCATTTAAGCTCTTGGTCCTGTTTGATTTTAAATATCTCTGGTTAACTGTATGACTAACACACTACAGTACCACTGTACATGTTTCAGCGGTTCAAACTGGCACCACTGAAACATTTACCGTCTTCCTCTTGGCACTGTCATCATTTCTGCTATAACTGCCAACCTACAGTACCTCTCTATGGACAGAAACAAAAGTCAGAACACAGAACAGATTACACACTGACATGTAACTGAATATCTCAGGATTTTTCCTTCAAGGCAAGGCCACATCAGCAGCATTTTAAAATAAAATTTAAAAAAAAGGAAGGATTTGTCGCACAAATGTTTTTGGTCATACATGTTGCAGTGCTACAGCTTCTTACAGATGTTTCCCATGAGTCACAGCAGACGCGGTCAGGTCGTCAAACTGCCACAGAGGTTTCAACAGAACCAAACTGAAAATGATTTCCACTTTACTGAGTCATTTAGTCTCATAACAGGGGAAATAAAACAAGGAATTTGGAGTTTAAAGTAAAGGGTGCATCACTCAGACTAGAATTTCTGAAATACATGACTATGACTTGAACAGCATTCCCATCACTGAGTGATGCTTTCCAGCGAAGCAGAGATTTTTCCTTACAGCCTAAATTATGTTAGTTGCTCTGTGAGGCAGCAGCATGAATATGTGTAATTCCCCTGCTGTTCACATGACAGCTCCAAACTAAGACTTACTTCTCTTCAAACAAAACACAAATTCTGTTGTGGGATAATGCCACGTTTCTTAAAAAAAAAAAAAAATCTGTAAATGAGATTGACTAATTAAAAAGTGCTTTCAAACATCGATATCTGATGGTTTATTTAGACAGAATGAATTACAGTTGTCTCTCTCTGTGCTTTTCACTGGGTAAATCTGCTTAGTGTGGCATTTAGCATCCCCAGCTGAATGGCCATGGTCAAATATAAATGTCAAGAGAACCCAACAGAGGTAGTACACTGTTCGGCTATAAGCAGTTTGACCACGAGGTGGTGCTGCTGTACTGTGCTCAAAAGACAAACATACAGTATAACCCAAATCAAACTCATCAACTCCAACACTTGCGCTTGTCTGTATATCTGTAAGGGTGTGCGGCAAAAAAAAAAAGACAACAGACTTTTACTGAAGCCTCGTCTGACATCTGCCACTACACCTCCTGCCTTTTCTTTGCCCCGTCTGGCCCGAAAGGTATAATGAAACCGTAATGTTTCTGAACTTTTGTAAAGTGGTCAACAAATCAACTACAAACTTGCTTCCTAATTACAGCCAATCTGATGCCTCTGGTGTTAAGTTTTGTTTTTCCAAACTAACAGGGGATGATCTGAATACTTGTAGAAAAAAAGTAAGGTAAGGTACTTCATACTGCAAAATATCAGTATCTGGATTCAAAAGGTTTTCAAGAATTCATCTTCACATTTGCCTCAATGTGAAAATGGAGACAACAGAAAGAAAACGTGTCTCTGTGAGACCGTGATCAAATAAACACGAATAGCACTGGCAACCAACTGTTAACTGGAAATATGATGTAGAAAACCGTCATTAAGAACAGGGACAAAAAAGGTCTGTACATAACAGGTGTCTCCTCTTTCCCCACTGTCTTTGAACACACCATTTGCTACTGTACCACCTCCGTACAACCCTGTCTCTAAGAGACGACTCCCCCTCTGTACACCTCACAAGAGATTGGGGGCAAAGTCCAACAGTTCAGATCTGCTGCCAGGCTGGTCCTTTTCCTTGGCATGAGAGAGTGTGCAATACAGAGAGGGGGAGAGGGATACGAGCCGGAGACACGAGCAGATGTTTCAGTTCGTCTCGCTTGTCTTGTCCTCAGTTTGTTTGTCCTGGAGGAGAGTTATGAGAGACTCCCACGCTGCCTGGCACTGCAGAGGGTGGAGAAGGATGTGGGTAGGGGGTGAAAGGGAGAGACAGAGGGAGGAGACTGGTTTCATGTAAATCCACAATGTGCATGCATCCGTTTTGTTCAGAAATGCTAAGAAGCCAACTCCGGTGTTTCAAATACAGTAGTTCAGTTCCCCCCCCCCCGCTGCTCTGATAAGTCAAGTCGTTACGATCAGCCCTTGCTCCTGCCTCACTACCACCTATTAGATGCCCTTCAGCAAAGCATCTAACTGAGCAGCTTCCTAGTGTCTGCTTGTGTAACTGTGTGAGTGTGAACAGGTTGTGTCTACTGAAGAGGATTCAGGTACTCTGGATAAATAAAAAGGTCAGCAACAGATAGCTCATTTCAGCTCAGCTAGTGCTGTGCTGGATCTGGTCCCAAAGCTCATCTTGCTACACATACTAGATTATTTAATAGTACTGACATCTTACTATGCATTTACTATGGACTTATGGTCTGTAATAAAGTAGCCTTTTGCCAACAGTGACTAATGAAACATGTTTAGAGTATCCCAGTATGTTATAGGTGTCTCGGTATCAACATTTTTTAATGATACTCAGCACTAACAATCACCAACTTCTCCACAGACACCTTTCTATTTTTAGTGCTATTGTGAGAAGCATGCAGATCAGCATCTGCTTTGTCATGTTACTGGAGGGTGTGAAGACTAAGCTCCTGAATCCACCCTATTACAACACAATTGACACTCTGTTTCTGTTCCAACCATGAAAACATTTCAATTAGTGAGAACAAGACATTGAAATCTTCCCAAACAATTTTAAAGTCCATGCTTTCGCAGTGTGTTTACAGCAGTGTACCTTGTCATAGTAGTTGATATTTTTATCCGCCATGCCTGTGAGGAGCTGCTTGAAGTCTTGTCTCTTGTTGCTCTGCCAGCGATCCCAGTCTGCCTTCAGGTCAGCATTGAAACACTCTGCTTTGTCTTGGCATTTCTCTACCTCCGCTGGCATCTACAGCGAGACAGACAAAACTACAGCTACAGGGGACTTGAAGGGACATAACACAAGATGACAGATTACAGAACTGGAGGGTGGGCAACGGAAGTGGTCATTCTACTGGTAGGTTTGTTTTTAATCAGTTATTTGATGATATAAAAAGAGATGATTTGACAGCTTTGATTGGCGGTCTGATGCTGTCAGTCCACTTCCAGCTGCTTCTGTGTAGAATATGGTCGCAAAACAGCAAGATGGCAGCCACCGTATTGATGATATTTTGGCTTAATGTCTGCATAATGGAGGGAAGTGGTGACACCATGTCCATCGTATATGCATCAATGTCCATGGCTGTCCATGATGATTAATAAAGACAAACATGTCCCTTAAAAAATTAATAAAAGAGCAACTCACCCTGGCAAATATAAATATAATAACTGTGTTGGCCAGAGTGCATACCAGCTGCACTTTGAAATTAAATTATGTGATAAGTAACTGACTGTCTGGTTGAAATACTCATATTTAAAGGGAAATTTTAGGAAGCTATGGAAAACCACTGACCCTCTAGCAATTTTAGGGCTTCCATGTGTGAAAGGAGGTTCATAAGAAGGAGGATGCTTACAGGGGTTCTGTCGTCCTGTTTGCGCAGTATGGCTGCTTCTAGTCGGCCCTCGTACTCTGCTTGGGTCTGGTCTCGCTTCCTCAAAACATTCTGTGATCAAAACAGAAAATATCAGCTGTTTTGCAGCAACTTGCACTTAGTGTGACCTTTACCGACGCTGGAAGTTTTCTGGGAAACAACAGCAAGTGAAAAATATTAACATGCTGAAACAGGATCCCCCGCCCCTGCCTAAATTATGCCTTTTCCCTGTGATAAATAATATACAAACAAATGACATTAATCAGACAGTTTGTACCTTTGCACAAAGCAGGTAAACTCTTTTTCATCTGTTTCCAATTAAAACCTAAACATTTATAAGTGTAAACATGTCTTGACAATGTAGAGGCTAAGGACAATGCTTATTTTAATGTACCAAAGAAACAACTGTCAATTAGTTTTTAATAACTGTTTCATTTTCAAACAAACATAAGAATGTGACCCCGTACGAGCGCCCTCGTCCCTCTTCACCTTCATGGACTCTATGTAGAGCACGTACTCTCTGAGTACAGGCAGAAAGTCCTGGCTCATGTTCTCACTCAGATCCTCCAGCGCCCCACTGCATGTCGTCACGCAGCCAGCCACGCCCTCCAGGGGGCGTCGCAGCTCCTCCTCCGACCCTGCCCAGCTAGAGTAGACCGTGCCGTACTCACGCAGCTCTGTTAGGTACTCTAAAGAGAGTGAGAGAGAAACAAGAAGAGGTAAGACAGCCATGCAGTAGGCAAACAAAACCAGAGTTGTGTTCTTCTTTCCTTTATGTTGTTCCACTTCTACTGATACAAGACAAGACAATTCCGGATGGAAACAAATCACACAACTTTCTTTCTTCACAGGCGATAAGGAGGGATCAGCATGTTCAATGCAAAATCTATATTTGTAAATCAAACATAAGGGGCAGATGGTCCGACAACAGGCTGCTGAGTAGAGAATGTATAGCATTCACTTTTTTTTTTTAACCACCTCTGTCAACTCCTAGTCCTTCGTTATCTACAACTCCCCTGACTTTCAATTTTATTGCCTCTAATATAAAACAAGAACCTTCCGTTTACGCTGCAGATTTTCAGGCCACTGAGTGCAGCTCATCTAAAACCTGACCAGATGGTGACAAACAAGCATTTCTCATGGTAGATGACAGGTATTTACAGAAGCACTTGTCATGCAAGGCCCAAAGGTCTGTGGGTTTTTCTCTAAACACTCACCACAGCAGTAAATACTGTAAGTCAATACTGCAGATGCAGTGTTAGACTGAACCCAACAACAAGCACAATGTAGTACATAAAAATAGCTGCCAGTAAATAGTAGGGTAGTAGTTAGAGTGTAAGGAGTATTACTTGAGGCAATGTTGCACACATCAGTGTTTCTAAATGTTGCTTCCTGGTGTCTAAAATGCATGTTTGGAAAGAATTTCACAAACAAGATGAGATCAGCTCTGTAGCCAGTGACAGTACTTGTTACATCTTGGAACTTTTACATCAAGTTTTGTCAGACTTGTACTGTTGCGGTGATTTGTTTTGTGTATATTTCTTATTTCAAATGTATTTCCAAATTTATATAATTATTATTGGCTTATCTAGTTTCAGCTGCTCTGGGTAATAAGTGCATTATGTTGCTTGCTTTCATGGCTGAGTTTGAGATCATTTTGTTTGTAAAATCTCTCATGAATTCCTCTTTTACTGTCAGTTTTACTATCAACAATGAGTTAAATGGATTAAAACCATCTGCACCACATCCTGCATCTGTGAAACCACTGGTCCAGGTCTGCAGATGAGTGAAAGCTCAGCGTCCTCAACCACCATGCCTCAGTGTCATCTACTGGTCTGATACCTGACTGCTCTTTGAGGATCCTCTGAGCAATGCGGTCGATGGTTCCCAGTTTCTGGCTGAAGGTGTCCAGGTATTCTCCCATGGCGCAGAACTCGGCCGGCCGTGTCCGCAGCTTGTATCCTCCAGCCACGTGCCTCACTGACTCGCCTACTTTGGACAGCAGGGCCAGACCCTGGCGCTTGTTCAGGTCCTGCAGACACATAGTGACAACAGGCCATATTATGTCCTTTAGCAGCTTATCACCTACAGTATTTTGCATTGTATATTGTGTATACCGGTCATGTATGCTTGTGTTCTACTGTATTTACTGAGTCCAATGATTGTTGTGCTGTGACAGTCTCATTTCCCCACAGGGATCAATGAGGTCTTATCTTGTGTCTCAGCTACTTGGAGACAAAATTTGTGATTGATGGCAGGCATAGAGAAAACACACAGACAAGTAAGGAGTCAGAAGGTCTGTATCCAGTGGCTGGGTATTTTACTGGAAGATTAATCACTTAGATTTGCATAAAACCATGCAATATTACAGGGTGCTGTGTAAAATAAACTGCATACAAGCATGCAACAGGAAAAGCCCCTTGTGTTCCTGAATAAACCACAATGACCACAGCTTACAAACCTCAGAGAGCACCTCAGTGTGTTCAACTTTGGTGTGATATTAAGAGGCACTTCTGACATGCATTAGAATATATTCAAAATTTTAACAATTGTCCTATATTTATACATTACATTCTTAAAAAACAAAACAAACACAAAATAAAATGTCCCTAAAATCTGATCAAAGAATATTTAATGAAAAGAGTGAACTTCCCGCCCTTGTGCCGTCTTACCTTGGCAGTCAGAAAAACGTTTAGATGAGGGTTGAAGGAGAGGACAGGATGGTCTGCAACTCGCTTCAGGAACTTGTCCAGAGCTTTCATCCTCGTCTCCACAAACTCCTCAGAAAAACGATCAACCACGCCCTTCATCACAAACTTCTCTGGCAGCGGCTGGAGATGAGGGAAAAAAGGAGAAGCAGAGCAGAGAATGCAAATTAAGCGTTCCTCATAGGAAAGTGGGACATTAGGTTGCGTTGCGGCTCATGTGACCTACGGGGATGAGGTGGGTCGGCTGACTGTCTTCCAGCTTGATCCTCAGCCAGTCAAAGTCCTGGTAGCGCCGTCGCACACAGTACTCCGGCAGGTCAAACTCTATTCGTGTTGTCTGGAAAAAGAAAAAAAAACAAAACACACATTTGGCACATTAACTGGGATGATACAGTGTTTAAATTACACATTTAAAGCCCAATCCTGATGTTTAATATAACACAACCCTGAAAAGGGACCCAAATTTGTGTCCCTTCTACAGCTGGAGACCCACTGTGTGTTTCTGCCAACAGGAAGTACTTTAAATTTCAAGTCAAGGAAATGAATGGTGTGTGAACAACATTAAATAATGAAAACAGAGCTGGCATTAGTTTATTTATGATTAGATTTCATTGTGTATAAATAGGTTAATAAATGTCTGTAGAATGCATTAGTACCCAACTGCTGAATGATTGTGTACACAGACTGGACGGTGACCACATCTCTGTTCATCTCAGTTAACACAGGATTACTGTGCATGTTTACTGCCCTTGAAATACAGCTGACGGTGCACCCACCCACACAAATACTCTAACGGTCTAGTGTTAAAAGCCCCCCCCCCCGCTCTCAATTAACACTTAGGTTTGTACGGGGTTGAGATATTTGTCTAAAAGGCCTCTGAGCTGAAGCACCACAGTGCACACAGCGACTGTTGTTGTGACGCCACCCGACAGCTCCTGGCAGTGTCACCCTCAGAATCTGCTGCTTTCATTACACGATGGAAAGGCCTCCAACAGTCCTCTGCCGAAAGTCAGAGCAGATGAAGTCATGTCCAGCAGAGTGGAGAATGAAACAGAGGATCCATCTGATAAACTTAAGTTACTGAATGCATCTAAGGGAAAAGAGCATGTCTGCAGTGTGAAGAACCAGTCAGATAATGAACCTGCTAAATGTGACTGAATGTGAGGTACAAGCTAATGCCACAAGTGGTTGACCTCTAAAATTCTGACATTTAGAAAGTCCCATTCTTTTATGTCCTTTAAGGCACCCTGTGGACTGTGGAGTTTTCTTACAGACACACAGTTATGTTTTTATTAAGTGCATCTCACCAACTTGTATTATGTGTATTCTTAAAACCTGGCAAACGTTAACTGCATTTCCTTCTTGATGAAATATTTGCACAGCCAATTTTTTGAAACCTTTACTTTTTTACATTCGTCACCCCCACCAACTGTTCATCTGAGGAAGAACATGGAATGATTGTCAGAAGCATGTATAAGTGTGTACGTATGCCCTCAAGCAAAAAAACTAAATAGGGACTGACTCACAAAACACTACAGCACTACTAGTGCCCAGAACCACTACAATGAAAGTTTTGCATGTTCACTCCAATAAATACTAACTGTATTAGCATTACAGCGCAGCATTTTACAAAACAAGATAAGGTTTGCGGCATAGGAATCAGCTTTGCGTTGAGATCTTATAAAGACAGACAGACTTTCTTGCATTTAAACATGACTGTTCATCAACCAGCTATTAACTTTTGGATAGCAAACTTTTAAAACAATAATCAAATGCTACAGAATATGACAAATATTAAGGTGACTAAATGTTCACTATCATTAATTGCCAAGTATTTCCAAGTGATGCAAGTATATTAACTGTGTTCTGAGAAATAGTTAGCATCAACATTAAATATGGGTTAAATCAGAAAGTTCTTGTCCATAGAAAACCAGGTAGACAATGTTACCATGACACCAGCCAATAGCAGACCTTGGTGGAGACTCTGTAGGTGATGTATGTCTCCATGGTGGACACATGTTTCTTTGGGTCATCGACTGTGACAAAAAGATCACGTGTTTCCGTGGAGGAGTAGGGGTCCCGAGCGTCCGCTTCCAGGTCGTCATCCAGCTGCAGCCTGTTGAACAGTGAGGATGCAGAGGCGGGACTCGACATCTCCACCGGTGTGCCGTTGGTCAATCCCGCTTCCTGTGTGGGCAAATATGATACCATGGTGACATCAAATTCAGATGCTGCAGTGTGGAAAGGCTGTGAACAAAGAGCTGTTAGACTGATGCAGTCATCTCTCGCTGTCACTGGGGCTCTTGTTGAGGCTGCTGCTGCTGTGTACACATCATGCATCATCTGACACCACTCTTGTCTTTCTAATTGAATGATAGACTAGAGGAGAGAAATGGACCATTTGTAGAATGGGGATGCATTTACACAGTCTTCATACAAAATATACCAACTGTAGGAAAACAATGGGTAGTTATACCAGATTAACAAAAAAAATTAATTTCATTTTATTGTATTTTAGAAACTGATCAACTGATAATGAAGTTTCATTTTTAATGGTGCAAATTTTCTTGTGAAGTGCCTTTCATCACATCTTCTTCCTACTTTCTGAACAAAGAAGTGACTGATGCATTGATCAACATAATCATGAAGTTGCAGGAAAATTCAGGACTTGGATCAACAAAAACAAATCAAATCAGTATCACTATCAACTGGGTGCACAAGTATATATAGCTTATTCAAAGCTGCCATCCTCCTAATGCCATGACGGCGCAGAATGTTGCCAGTCAAACTTGTTCTAGCACTTTCATGTTTTCAAATGTATTGTGTAGGAACAATTAGAGAGCAAACAAGCTTTCTTTACAGGCTGCATTCAAACACAGCAAGAAGGCTGAAAAAAGGTGTAAAATGACAAATAACATGGAAAAAGTGGAAGCTGTAGACTGAAGAGACAAGTAGTGTATTTGGCCATGTTATTATTAGAGAAAAGAGAATTATGTGGTTGATTTTCTACTTCTAAACGCTGTTCAATATCCAAAAGTCAGAAAAAACAAATGTTTTACAGTGAATAGTAAGTGTTAAAACATTATAATTTTATGATGATTACTGTACTGCTGCACATTCAGGCAATCTCATCAGACAAAGTTAAGGGACAGCAGGCAACAGAATGTAAACACTGCGCAAAACATAAACACTGCAACAGGAAGATAGGCAAAACACTGAGGCAGGAGGGCCACATAACAGGTAATCTGACCTCCTGACAACACCTCTGACCAGCTGCCGATGTCCTCTGGGGCCACATCTTGCATCACATAAGGATGGAAATACTTTCTTCTTGGCACAGGTTATGGTGCACATGGGAAAGCAGTAGAGCTAATGTTCAACCTTAATCACCTTTTCTACTGTACACTCTTTTTTTTGTTTTATCACCTAACACGGACATGTATGAAACCTTCTAATTCAATCAGTGTCAAGACAAGTGCTTCACCTTTGTCGCTTCTTTCTCATTTCATCACCCCACTCTCTCTCTCTCTCACACACACACACACAACCACAGAGGCCGCTGATACTGTAAGTGCTCTTTTTCACACTGTGGTGCTAACCTGCATTGGTAATCACAGTTCAGATAACTGCAATGCACTGTATCCCTACATCACTGTGAAAACCAGGCAACCACAACACCGACACACTAAGACAGACAATGAGGATGAATCTGAGAACATTATAATGGGAGCAGGTCTGTTTTTCATCATTGCAAAAAAAGGTAAGTACCATACCCTCACTTTGCAAATTAGCCTTGCTGAAAGGAGAGTGAAGGATTAGCATCTCCTGTTATCAATAATTAACTGCAATACCACAGTGGCTGCTAAGGCTGTTGCTCCTAGGTAAAACAACAGCAGGGAGAATGAAAACTCTGTGATTTGTTTGCCTGGTCCATTTACACACACACAGCACACCTGCACAGATATCAGGTCCCTTTATTGACAGTGAATAGAGGAAATTCTGCTTCTCAACCAAAACATGCTTAAGCCGAGGTCAGGGTAATGCAACACCAGTTTAAATGGTGTAAACACATTACTCAGTGAACTTTTACGTGTGTGTTTGTGAATGTGTGAATTTGTAAACTCGTGCCCCATTTTCGCTGTGCACGTTTGTTTTTGTTGTTGTATGGCAATAAGAAGTGGGTCTATTTGTAAGGTGTAGTTAGCTAGTTAAGCTACCGTTTTGATATCTATCTTTCATCCAGTGATTCAGAAGCAAACTCCGGCGGTACAGGCTGAACTCTAACCTCCAGTCAAGAGCAGTAAACCTTAATGCAGGCAAAAAATAATGAGCACTGGTCAGAAAATGCGTAAGCTGATCATTTTTCTCGTTTTCTCCATTAAACTTAGATCAGTTTGCTATTTGATGGATTTAAGCTACAAACACTGGAGCCATCCTGAAGCGGGTTAGTGAGGAAGTTTAGAGTTTAGTTGGGTAAACCGTCATCTGTCCATACCCTGTTTGTCTTTAAACCTCTCTCGGTCCAGCCCCATCAGTCCCTACCTTGTCCCCTCCGATGGTGACGGTGACATCTGGCCCCGGGGAGAGCAGCTCCTCGGTGGCGGACAGCGGGTGGAGGATCTCCGCGATGGGCTTCTGCCCCGAGCTTGCCAGGCCTCTCGGAGCGCCGACACTCATCCTGCGGAAGGCGGGAAGTCGTGGCCTTGTATCGAGGATAACAGCTCTCCTGTTTTCCGCGGCTGATACGGTTAGAGAAGACGGAGAAAGCTATTTTTCTCCGTTCAGCGTATCTTCATTAAAGATGTTACACCCGCTGGTTGGCCACAACTGTCAGCTGACTCCCACTGCGCAACTCCGGATGTTACACTGAAAGAACCCGGATAAAAACATATGTATCATGTGACAACAGTAGCCCTTAAAGATAGGCTAATGCGAAGACAAGTAACTCGGAATTTAAAAACTGACATTTTATTTATATAAAACAGAATATAAAAAATGTAATCTAAAAGCACTAATTATGAATAAAAATTTAATACAACTACAAATACATTATTTGACAAAAAGGTAATTTAATGTCAAAACTGTCATGGTTTCTCAGTTTTCACAGACATACCTCATTCTTTCTTATCTCCAACAAAACGAGTAGGGCCGCTCGGCCTCTCTCAAGAAAACCTCATCCGCTGAAGAAGTGGCTGAAAGCTAGCCTATGGGCAAAAGCTAGCAAGTAGATCGTAAGATACGATTTTTATGCATTTATGTATTTACTTGTGAGGCTGCGGTTGATAATTTTAAACAGGTAAGCAGCGAGAAATTGCATGCTGTTAGTAATTGGTGCTCTCGAATAAACAACTTGTGCATGTGACTGACTAACCTATGCTGAAATTATGGAGCATAGCCTAGCTATATACTTGAGGAAACAAATTGTATTTTTTAGAGTCATTAATGTTTATGTGCTAACATATTTCCCATAAACAACTCCAAGTAACCGGGCTTTTATATGATATTTTGTTTCATATAAAGAGCGTACTGCGTACTTTAAATGCATTTATAATTTCAGCAAGGCAGTTTGCTTATGTTCATGAATAATTGTTGGTTACCGGAAATAGGAGCAGAGTGAGAACTTGTCTTATTTTCTTCTATCTAATCGACTTCTCTGAAAACCCGGTACACGGTGGAAGGAAACACAACCTAGAGTTTTGTCGTCATTTTAAATGTTTAGCTGCTGTTACAGAGCTGTACAACAACAGTTACGGTGTAATTTATATCAGCTTTAACTTACACTTATAACCCAGGATGACTTTTATGGTTGTCTTCCATTCACTGGTGGAACAACTAAGTGGAAGCTAACACAGATTAAAGTTAAGTGAAACAATTACAATCCGTGTTGTAGCGTTAGCCTGAAATCTTCGCCAGTTCCTGCATTGACATGACTGCTAATCCTCCAGGACAAGGTAAATCTTTTGTTTTTTGGCCAGTCGACACTGGAAACTCATTTGTCTTTATCTTATCAATGTGTATCAGCGCCTGACTCCAGGACCGGAACTACAAATTGTGTATCCCCTGAAAGCCTTTCTGTCGGACCCCATATGAAAAAACACAATTGTCTTACAGGTGTTGTGGCTCCTCTCTAACACTGGCTCTATGTAGAAGTGTTATAAATGTTCATCTCACTTGAGTACTAAAGTGTTCAGGAACTGGAAGAAAAATCCATCCATCCATCCATTTTCCTCCGCTTATCCGGGACCGGGTCGCGGGGGCAGCAGTCTAAGCAAAGATGCCCAGACTTCCCTCTCTCCAGACACTTCCTCCAGCTCCTCCGGGAAAATGCAGAGGCATTCCCAGGCCAGCCGAGAGACATAGTCCCTCCAGCGTGTCCTGGGTCTTCCCCGGGGCCTCCTCCCGGTGGGGCATGCCCGGAACACCTCCCTAGGAAGGCGCCCAGGAGGCATCCGAAACAGATGCCCGAGCCACCTCAGCTGGCTCCTCTCGATGTGGAGGAGCAGCGGTTCTACTCTGAGCTCCTCCCGGGTGACCGAGCTCCTCACCCTATCTCTAAGGGTGCGCCCGGCCACCCTGCGGAGAAAGCTCATTTCGGCCGCCTGTATCCGGGATCTTGCCCTTTCGGTCATGACCCAAAGTTCATGACCATAGGTGAGAGTCGGAACGTAGATTGACCAGTAAATCGAGAGCTTCGCCTTACAGCTCAGCTCCTTCTTCACCACGACGGACCGGTACATCGACCGCATTGCTGCAGAAGCTGCACCGATCCGCCTGTCAATCTCCGGTTCCATCCTTCCCTCACTCGTGAACAAGACCCCAAGATACTTGAACTCCTCCACTTGAGGCAGAAAAATCCAGTTACTATAAAAAAAAAGTAAAATACCTAATTCATCATTAGTTTTAACATTTATTTTGTAGTTGACACAGTTATCTTCTGAAAATGTTGATGAATTACATTAGGTTAGCTGATACATAATGTTCTGGCTCTTTCTTGTCCTTCTTTCTCTTCTTATTTTTCCACCTAGCCTTCCCAAGCAAGGCACGGGTGGCAATCCTTGCTGAGCTGGATAAGGAGAAGAGGCGGTTATTGCAGAATCAGTCCATGAACACTCCTGGTGCCAGGTATGGACAGTATACGGTGGAAATGAACATGTCAAATAATTTATATTCAGATCTGAGCGTTAAATAGTCAAAAGCAGCATTCAGGACCGGTGTCATATCAGCAGTGTGCCATGAATTAGCAGAGGAATTAGATTAGTTTCATTGCAGTGGGTTTCCAACAGTTAATTCAGCTGATAAGATGACATAACAAGAGGGTATTGTCATTAAGTTTCCACTTAGATGTTACCATTAGCCTATAATTTGACTCTCTTTTTCTCCCTTGCATCTTGTAGCATCTCGCTATCCAGGCCAAGTTTGAAGGAGTTCAAGGACAGTGCAGAGCAACAGCACATCGCTGCTCAGCAGAAAGCCGCCCTGCAGGTGAGACACACATAAACACAAGTGCAACATTACATCTGTTTACACATTTCTTCTAGGCAGCAACAAAGAGCACAACAAATTATTATTAAAATGTAGCTCTACTGCATTCAGTAATTGAAAAAAAGTACTTTAGTTACTCGTTCCCCAAATATCTGCTTCATAGTCATAAATAACATTGTTTAGTAAATATGCAGTTGAGTTTTCTTCTGTTTGGCATGTTTCCATAAGACTCATTTTGAGACCTAATTCTGCAGGTTTCTGACTGATACTGGCAGCTTTATTCTTTCTTTTCTAAATCAAGCCACAGTGGTACCTGTAGTCATGTTTGAATACCAGCTCAATACCAGTTACCAGTAGAGGTTATGGTTATTGTTTCTTGGTAAGTTAACCAAAGGATTAATTGACTAATCAGAAAATAATCAACAAAGTAACTGAAAAAATAATTGATTTAAAGGATCTCTAAACAATTGTTGGTTGCAGCCTTATTTAAGGTTATATTAAATGATGAATGTGATCACCAACCTTTGCCTGTGTGTTCTCTTGCAGCATGCACACGCACACTCATCAGGCTTCTTCATCACTCAGGACTCCTCATTTGGGAACCTCATCCTCCCCGTCCTTCCACGCCTGGAGCCTGAGTCATGACCGTTTATCCATGATCTCTCTTCATGCTGCCTGAGACAAAGCTTTAAAACAACATATGTACACATCAGGCTTTCCCAGTTTCCTCATGTAAGCGTGTGATTGGTTGGTTGTGTTGTAAACAGTCTCAGGAAAATGTGAATCCATCATTTATACATTTCCCAGACTGACAGGCTGGCTGCTGATTTTAGGAAAGCTTTCCACACAGTTGGAAAAGAGATTGCAGACATCCTGTTAAGTAACTCTGAGCTCATAAAACTAGAGGAACACTGTACATGTTATCCTGCTCTGCTGTCTATCGTGGTACTAATAACACAGCCTTCCATAAAACACACATCATGACAGTTTGTTTTTTTTAAAGGTGTAATGGATTTCTATTGATATTCAAAGAATAAAATAGCTTGTATGTATTGGAAGACAGTTTTTAATTTTTGCAATTAAAAAGAGGGGTCAAAGGTCTAATATACTAGTGTGTTTACATTGTAGGGTTTTATGGTCCGATTCTTTTTTCCACCTCTGATTTTAGTGCCTTGACTGTTCACATTCAAGTTTTTAAATGATCCATATTATGTGTAAATATGCACAGATCACTGTTCTGAAAAGATTCAAATCAAATCAAATTTTATTTGTATAGCACCAAATCACAACAAAAGTCATCTCAGGACACTTTACAAAGTAAGGTCTAGACCTTACTGTTATCAATATTATTACATAGGGAAAACCCAACAAATCCCCCTTGAGCAAGCACGGATGCATTTATGAAAAATTGGCAAGAGAAATGTGCGTTGCGAGAATTATTTTCACTGTCAGGGCTGTTTTGACAGCTGGATATATTCATATTCATACAGTTGTGACAACAAGTATGAATTACACTACTGGAACCAACACAGACAAAAAGTTGGCCACATCACTGAGTGTGAATATAAAAGAAGATTAGAAATGACAATAGGAACACTTCAGGGGTCCTGTAAACCTGTTACATTTGGGGGGAGCCTGAGGAAGGTGAGTGCTATATTTAAATTACAACATCAAAACCTAGAGCAGAAAAAAAGGACAAGGTAAAGGTTGCCAGTACATTAATAACTCAAGGTTTACTGTTTCCACACCTACAGTGTTTAAGTTTGTTTCTGCCCCAATTTACATACATTTAGATGATATTTGTGCAGCCAGTTCTTCAATACATGTTCATGATGGCATCAAGAAGTTCACTGTCTAATCTGGAGGCTCAGTTGTCTTTTCATCAGATTTCCTGTCTGGAAGGTTTATTGCCACAGTCCACTTCACCGACAGGAGGATGAACTGTTGTCTCCTCCCACTGTGGCACTGTGTGATATAATACTGACCACTAGTGGCTGGTGTGGAGAAACGCACTATATATTATATTATATTACAAAATGTACTACTACTGCGGTTACCTTCCTTAGATGTTTGAGCTTCACTGTACAGGATGATGTATGTGCATAATTTGACATATGAAGGTTATTTTCTCATTCTCTTCTACAGTGGTGTAATATAATTACATTTATTCAAATACTGTACTTAAGTGCAAATGTGAGGTTAGGGTTAGGATTAGGGAAGAGTGGGGCAAAAAGTCATATGTGTAAGTTGTCACACTGCTTGTATTTCCAACAACATTGGGTACTACCTAAAAGTTTATTATTGCTTTTGTGCATCTACGTGTGCTGATGTAATACCCTGTGTGGGAGAGGCCACCAATACTGTCAGCTGCCATGAGCCCTGTTTTTCACATTCAAAACTAAAAACTTGGATATTACATTTTATGGGGTTTTCTTTTTCCAGTAAAAAATGCCAAGGAAAACATGTTTTACTTTGAAGAGGAGAGATTTGTGTCTTTTAATATCTTGTTCTAATTCCCTGTGCTAACATAACAAATAACAAACCTTAGTAAACATGGCAGCAAGGTGAAAAGTGGCAGCTTGCCCCAGTATATAAACATCTTGAATATTATTGAGATATTGTTTTATGAAGTACTGGTTTTAAAGATGTTTAAATACTATAAATCAAAGTAGTAACAGTTAATAAATTATCTTAAAATCATTTTCAAACTGTTGTAGTTGGGATGAGTTGTGGAATCAGGAACAACATTTTAACGATTTACTAAAATTGTAAAGTTAGTTTGGAAATTTGCAGGTGTTACAGTTTCTTGCAGTAGCCAGCATGACATCTCACCCCTTATACTGTGATAACTTACCAACTGATGAGGTAAATTGTCACAAATACACACTGACTAACTACCTATAACTCTGTTCTGAAGTAAAATATATAGCTGAGACTTTCAACTTTCATTTGGCATTTGATTTGAAATATGATGTATGGATTCCAGGATGTATAACAAAGACTGAAAAGTGTGACAAGATGGCCTGGTCTCCCCTCAGTCTTTAGTATGAGGGAATGTCTAAACACAAATCCTCAGCTTATTTTCTATTTGCTGTAATTATTTGAGCTTGTCTTTGTTTTCCATTTGTCTCTTGATTTCCCTCTGTTTCAGAAATGGACTGAAATGCTGTGTATTGTGTGAGATTGAAACTTTTATTTTCTTAAAAAGTAGACTGAGTCATGATAACTTTCTGAGAGAGATCACTGTCAACCCCCTCATTCATAAACCACTGTTAACAAGCTTCATGATCAAACATTTTTCAGAACCCTCAACCCTGGACTTTCCTCCACCCTGAGCAAAAAGACTTTCACTGAATACCTGTGTGTTTCCACTTGCAATAAAGGGATATAGGTGTACACTTAAAGTGTTATTTTTTTGTTACTTTTATGTAATAAGTGGTGTGACTGCAAATGAGCTATGCTCGAAATTGCAGAGCAATGACTCCAAGGCTGATGGTTAGTCCTCGGTCTAACTCACCAAAAGGCAACACGCTTCATCTAATCCAGTGCATTATGTGTCGATGATCCTATCTATAGGCTATCTAAGCGTGTGATACATGACGAAGATATAGAGCTTTCAACCGGGTTTATGTGGGTTTTTTTCCATGTGTGAATTCAGTGACTTGACCGAACTTGCTCCAGGCTCCACCCTCCTTTAGTCAGCCAGTCTATTACGCGTTAGGACTGGTGCCTTTAAGTTACAAGCATCCCGGAGAGAGGAGGTAAAAAAAGACTTTCCCATGGAATAAGCAGCTATACAGCCGTCGCAAGTTTGTCAACTCTAAACTTTAACCGGTATCTTTCCTTGAGGAACATATCTCCCGTAAAGACCGGTCTCCTTAGCATTTTCCGACTTGGATTAAATTCTACGCGGAAACAAATGATATTTGAACCCGCACAGAAGAGGTGGTATCTGACACAACCCTCTGTGTTTCTACTCTTGTTCTTTTATGCACGGATCTTGGATACATGCCTGTTGGATTTTAATAATAGTGGGGGGAACTGCCAATTTTTCTGCTGCTGTCTTTGCGTAGAGATCTTAAAGGATTGATCCGTGAAGAAACGCAAGTTCCTGAGCTAACTCTGCAGAGAAAATCCTGCACAGAAAGACAAAAAGACTAAAAATATTAGTAATACTAAAATTATGGCGCTGAAGGCCAGGGTCTTGTATGATTTCCACTCTGAAAATCCAGGGGAGATCTCCATAAGGGAGCATGAGCTGGTGACTCTTTTCACTGAGGAGGAGTTGGAGGGCTGGCTGGAGGGGGAGAACAGCAGGGGAGAGACTGGCCTCTTCCCCGCCTCCTATGTGGAAATCATCAGGGAACACATCAGCACCAACAACAACAGCTTCTCCTTGCCCATAGCCAAAAGCCTGTCACCCACCCAGTCTCAGAGAGGATTCGGAGCCGGTAGCGGTGGAGGCAGCTTCCACACCAGCCAGGGCAGTGATGATGACTGGGACGATGACTGGGATGACAGCTCTCAGGCGAGCGATGCTCCTCAGGGTCTTGGCAGTGCCCCCCCTTTGTACCCAGTGACCACCTCTTTGCCTGGGCGGTGTGGGAATGCCCAGCAGCATCAGCAGCAGGCCAAGAGCTCAGGCACAGTGGGGAGGAACCTCAACAGGTTCTCCACTTTTGTCAAGTCTGGAGGGGAGGCCTTCCTGCTGGGGGAAGCCTCTGCTTGTGTGAGGGATAAGGACAGGATCTGTGTAGTGATGGGAAAGCATGGGCCTGAATGGCAGGAGGATCTGCACCCATTCATGTGCACCATTGACGACCCCACCAAGCAGACCAAGTTCAAAGGCATGAAGAGCTACATGTCCTATGGCCTGACCCCAACACACACCAATGTACAAGTCAACCGCAGGTACGAACTCTCTTTGTCCTTCTGTTTCCTCACTAGGGGCTTATTTTTCACTAGATCCCCTGGGTCCTCTACAGTTAAAATGAATGTTTCTGTGGTTCTTCCTGTGGCTGCCATTGTTCCCATAAAATGGCAAAAAAATATAGGCAACTGTGGCCTTTTGCCCTCTAGAGTCCTCAGGAATCTCCCCTTTCCTTTCTTGAATTCCCTCTGCACCTTTCACATTGTTTCCTTGTCAGCAGCTCTGTCTTTTCAAAGCAACACATGCTCCCTTACATTTCACTTTCCACTCGGTCCTGCTGGGAACAAGCTTATATATTTGCTCTTCTTCTTTTCACTCTGATGACATTTTCCTGCCATTTACCTCACCTCCTAATCTCCCTAACTCTCACTTAGTCACCTCCCTTCACACCATCCACTTGTCCCCTCTATCTTAATCCTTGCAGGTATAAACATTTTGACTGGCTCTACGCTCGGCTCGTGGAGCGTTTCCCGGTCATCTCGGTGCCCCACCTGCCGGAAAAGCAGGCCACTGGACGATTTGAGGAGGACTTCATCTCCAAGCGGAGGAAGGGTCTGATCTGGTGGATGAACCACATGACCAGCCACCCTGTGCTGGCACGCTGTGATGTTTTCCAGCATTTCCTGACATGCGGGGCAAATGAGAAGGCCTGGAAACAGGGCAAGAGGAAGGCAGAGAGGGATGAGCTGGTTGGGGCCAATTTCTTCCTCACAATCAGGTACAAAGCTTCGTTATGAGCTTCAGAGGTTGTGGGTTCAAATCCTGTATTTGGCTCTTGTTTGTATTACAAACCTTTAAATGCATTAAGAACACACTGAAAAACCTTTGGATGTTTAAATAAACTGAATTTAACACATCTATACAGCTTCTACAGCCTTTAATAGCAGCTAACTGTTGCAGATGGCTGTCGGTTACTGTGTAATATGGCCTACATAACTAATGTTTCCAGTGGCTCGTGGGGAGTTGCAGGAATGTTTTACTGATTTAGCAAACCAGGTTTGAAATTAAACACTTGTAGTCCAGGAGCACAGGCTTCTATCCAAAATCATCATTTTCCACCAGTATTCCACAGTCATGCAAGTAGATAGTAAAACAAGTATTGTAGATAGAATCAGAGGCCATCATCTGCCCCTTTAACACTATAGACCAGAAAACACTTGAGTCTACAAAACAGGTCAGGTTTTTAATATCATCTCCTTAGCTTGAAAAACTCTAGTGGCCCTGTTGTCGTCATGATTACACTCTCACATTAATCAACCATTGAATGTATCGAGTTCCAGCCCATTCTGTGGAGACTATGGAAGGTCTTGTGGGAAATAGGCGCTCACTAGCTGAAGTAGAAGTAAAAGATGTGACAGGTTGAGGGAAAGAAGGTACAAAACGATACAGTTCATCATTTCTTTGCAACATTTGAAAATTAGTAACATAAGGAGAGTTGGAAAAAATGTAATGTAAAAGTACCTTAAGAGAGTTTAGAAGTAAATTGCACTCAGTTTTGTGGTAAATTTAAGTTTGTGGTGTTGGATTTCATCATAGTTTTGCATCAGGTATTTAGCTGAGCAGGACTTGGATCATTTTTATAATGGTTTAACAGTAACAGTGGAGGATATCTGACCGTTATCAAGACGCTGTTATCAGTTTGAGTGTGATGTAACTCAAGGCTTTATTAATAAGGAGTCTCTGATAGCAAGGGAGAGATTAACAGGGCAGGACAATAATCTGCTCTCATGTATTTGTGTAATAAAGATGAGGTAATGTGTGAGTAAAACATTATAAAGGATTTTCAAAATAAAGCCACAAGCTCTACAGTAAAATGCATGTTTTTCCCCACTTTCTCTATAAGCACGCCTGCTGTTCCGCTGGACCTCCAGGAAGTCGAGAGCAAGGTTGAAGGTTTCAAGACCTTCACCAAGAGGATGGATGAGAACATTGTGGTCATGAACACCACCATCAATGAATTTGCCCGCAAACAGATGGCAGGGTTCAAGAAGGAGTACCAGAAAGTCGGACAGTCCTTCAAACTCCTCTCCCAGGCATTTGAGATGGACCAGCAGGCCTACTCAGTGGGCCTTAACAAAGCCATCACCTACACTGGCGAGGCTTATGAGGCGATAGGGGAGTATTTTGCTGAGCAGCCACGCCAGGACCTGGATCCCATTTCTGACCTGCTAGACCTCTACAGAGGACACCTGGCCAATTTTCCTGACATCATTCATGTACAGAAAGGTGGGAAAGAGGGTGTGTGGTCACGTGAGATCCAAATTCACAGCTACAGCATTTGTCATGTAGCATAAGTATAAAGGAATCTGTGACAGTGAGCAGGGACAGAAGTATCAGCAATGAGATATGTACTGAGGAAAAACGTATTCAACTCCAAACATGAAGCAGCAAGAAACTGCAGGAATATAAACAGGACCTAGCATACTTCTCTTAACAGGGAGCTCAGAGGTTAATAGGCCAGCTTCAAGTCATGCTGGGAGAGGCTGACTGGTCAGAACTGTTGCTCATGGATGCATCTGCAGGGTGGAGGTTTGCAGACAAAGAATTTGAATCAGAGCCTCTTGCTCCATCCATCCATTTTCCTCTGCTTATCCGGGACCGGGTCGTGGGGGCAGCAGTCTAAGCAAAGATGTCCAGACTTCCCTCTCTCCAGACACTTCCTCCAGCTCCTCCGGGGGAATGACGAGGCGTTCCCAGGCCAGCTGAGAGACATAGTTCCTCCATCGTGTCCTGGGTCTTCCCCGGGGCCTCCTCCCGGTGGGACATGCCCGGAACACCTTCCTAGGAAGGCGCCCAGGAGGCATCCGAAACAGATGCCCGAGCCACCTCAGCTGGCTCCTCT